GAATGTGCATTGTGTCTGTCGCTTGCATTATTCTACTTTGCCTTCCCCACCCGAGTGTCCCAAAACCGCTGGACATGAGATCGAGTCTTTTCATTTAATTCATATGATATTTCTGATCTGTGAATTTCACGAGATTAGACAGATCGCACAAGCCTCGTCGGTGTTGTTCTTTGGTATATGATTTATATGATTCACTGCTGTACATAATGTATAAAAATAGATACGCTTCGGTGCGGTGAGAGTTAAAAGCAATAGTTTTTTAATTCTTGAAAAATTATCACGGCATTTTTTTAACAAAACTGATATGAAATCGAATGGAAGAAAAGAAAGGAAGGGGAGATCTAGAGAACGTGGAGCCAGAGAACGATCAACCGTTTCTCACAGTATCTCGCGCGACCATGGGAATTTCTCAAACATCGTCCCGTCGATTCCGCCTGACAATGGTATTTCCATTCTACCGGCCGACAAACGTTGGATCTCTCTCGGTCCCATCGATTCCCCAAAAAGGATATTTCTTTCGCAGGACGGGTCGCGTACGGGGAGCCCAAACCAGGAATCCATCGTACAACATTTTACTCTTAGGTCGTGAATGTTATCGATACGAAGTAGAATCGAAGTTCTTAGATCAATCGTTGAAATTAAAAGAGATTGCCCCGAGCAAATTTCCAACGAAAAGATGTTTACAGAGGATATTTAAAACCGTTGCAGTCGATGGAGTAACGTGACGCGTCGGTTTTAAGAGGAACCCCTAAATCCGAGTCCGAGCAAACTTTCTATCGAACCGGAAAGCGAACACGAATTTCGTACAAGATTCTGCTCTCAGGAGATAGGCCGGTGGTATCCTTTGGTCCCCGTGGCCGGTGCGTGCCCTTCGGCTTTTAATCGATGCGTTTTTGCTGGCGGATTCCCAGCGAGAACTCGCGACGACCAAGACGACGTGGCTTTATCGCGACGGCTCCGTCGTATTTTATTGCTGCCGATTGTTCCCCCCCTCGGCCCCGTCGACCGTGTGCACCGTCCAGGCTTTTTGCTTTCCTCGGGCTTTCTTTCCACCGCCTTCGCTTTTTTACCTAACTCTCATTGTCCCTGACGTGCTCTTCGTTTTTTAACCGTCCCAACGAAATAAGTAGGTGAAACGTCTTCGGAACAGACGTTTTAACCTTTACTGTATTCGGCAAAATATATGCGATACGAAACGATATGAATATGAATGAATATTACTTTTTTAATATTACTTACATATTAATATAATAATAAATTTTAATATATTAATATTAAATATTTAATATAATAGAAGTTTGTATTTTACTTCGATGGAAATCTTTCTACAAAGTAGAAGATCGAATAGTAAGATTTGAATTCTTCTTATAATTTTAATGTAACATGTATAAAAACGAGTCACAGTTATTGTGCTCGTAATTTATTGCAGCTTTAATGGGAACAATGAAATACGAGACTCTTTGGTCGTCGAAGTTGATCCGTGATTGCGTTCATTGGATAATAGGTAGTTTAGAAGCGGTTAAAACTGTTCACTTATTTCTTTACCGATCATTAACGTCTTAAATGAAATTCATGTACTGATAAATTATATTTTAGTTCTGTTTGGCTCAAAGCCTTTCGAATAAGCAATCTTTAATTCTTACATGCATCTTATTAATGAGATTAAGACTTCTTTTACTCACGAGATCATCGAGATTAAGAAAGAAAGTACGAGCTTCATCGTCATCAAAATATTCTACGATCAATTTCAAGTAAACTGTTCTCTCTCTCTCTATGTACATTCCACGTTCCACTGATCTACAGCGTTCTAAAGATCGCAGGAGGATTTACTTGGAGCGGGGCAAAAAAGGTCGGTCCTCTTATTTGGAGAAAGGAGAAAAGGGAGAAAGGTCCGAAGCGCGCAACATCTGGCAGTAATCAAGAAGTTGTATCGTCGGCGAATCGAGAAAGAGATCAAAAGTACGATGCAGAGGAAGCATCCATGAATTGAATACCCGCACAAAAACCAACAACCCATAGATCATGTACACACGAAATGTAAACGCATGTACATGAAACGATCTGCGTTACGTATAAAAATCCTGAGGCACGTTCAGTCTCAATGTCAAGATCCAAGAGTAATTGATTCAATCAGATTTTATGGAATTCAAACCGACATCGATTGATCGAATGAAACCATTTCATTGTTAAGGTATTGCATTAAATAATATTCCACTTATTTGCTCTCACGAGTTACGCGACGAACTGGTCGTGGACAAGAACGGACGGGAAGAACCGTCGGATCGTCGAAGGGTATGAAGTCTCCCGACAAGAAATTTTGGGAACAGCCTTTATACACGAAATCAGCTTTTTGTCAATTAATAGTGTGACCGAGTAGGAACTCCTCGTCCTGTCTCCTTTTACGACCGGAGGTGGATACGTGAGGCTCATCTGTAATTCCATCGAATGCATCGAAGCGTCGTCTATGGCGCTAAAACGATATAGCCGTAAGAATATCATTCGCGTCACGTACCGGTGACGTCTACCTGCGAGTTTGATCTCCGCCGAAAAGCTGGGACGGGCTCGTTAATTAGCCAAAATTGTACGATCCAAAGTCCACCTCGTATGCTCGTTTAATTTCTTTATTAATTGGTCGAATTATAAAATTAAACAATTCCTTGTTTAGGTATCGAAGCCCAAACGTCAGGACAGAGTTCGTCGCCCTGAAGTGCCACAATTTCTTTACAATCGTACGAATATCTGTCGATGTCATCGTTCGATTAAAACGATGCCTATAAAAATGATCTCCATAAAAATTTTTGCATTTCCTCCAGAAAAATCTCTGCGTTCAGTGATCGACAACGACCGTGTGCGAATCAAGGGAAAAACGTCAAAACCTGTCGAGCAACGACTTTTTCTAAACGATCGCGAACAAATCGACCGACTGATACGCGTCATTGAAAGTGGAATACGCGCACGACGACAATAAACGCAATATGTATTATGAAAGAGCGTGCCAGGTAATTTCTTCCACTGGAGAATCGCTGCAGGGTACCAGTTTTCTCGATCGAAGTAATTCACTCTGATGACCGACGGGACGCACGCGAGAGCATGCAGGGAACGGTGTATCGTGAACGCACGCTTCTGTTTGACAGGCATAACCGTTTGATAATATCGTCGATCGCGAGAGCTATGTAATTCGCCTTCAACGAGTCGTAATTTGCCCGATCCGTTCCGCGGAAGCGCGAACAGCGTGTCGGGTTGATGGATCGCGAACGCGTTAAGACGTGAACGGTTCCAAATATTCTTGTTGTTTAACGTTTAACACTGTTTCAAGCGAATGAGCGTCAATTATTTTTATGAAGCGTTTGATGAAACGGGACATCCTTCCAACAATTTTTATAACAGAGATACGTATATAGAATATTATAAAACGTCTAATAAAAAGACATCGAGTAGACGAGAAATAGAATCTTTGGAAAATAATTAAACATGCTGGAATTGCCTGTGGCTCGGGAAGAAGTATCGACGTGATTAATGGTAATGTCGGATCGTCAGAGAAAGCGAGATGAAAAAGCGACGCGGCATTTACCATGGAACGTGTACTCGGCATTCTGGAGTAAGTAGATAATTCTCTCGCATAATGCGATGGAAGGGATGAGAATGTCGCGGCGACGTTTCGCTATGCGAAAATTACGCGACCACTGGAACCATAATCGTTGTTAATACGTCCCTTGCGTAGACTCTTTATTTATGGGCGTCCGCGTACACGCCGCCGGTACTCGGCGTTACCAATTTCTCTACGAGGAATACGAATTCGAGGAACGGATTGTTCGCGATCGCGGTATGGGTTTATCGCGACGCTGCAGCGATTATGTTGTCCGGCAAAAGTGTGTCGTCGAACGCTTAAAAGGAAGATGGATTGAGACTTTCTTCGAACCGTTGCGATTCCTCTGATCGATAGTTCGTTTAAGAACTGGAATATTAATTGCGTTTCAAGAGAGGATTTGTCATCTTATGTACTGGTTTCATGGAAAGGTGTACAATGCGATATAAGGAGCATTTTATCACGCGTATGTTTCTGTAAATTCAATCTAACCGTTGCAGCAACGGTACGGGGATGTTCGGTTACAAATCTTTATTGTCGATAGACTAATACGGTTAACGTGGATGCGCACTGGCAAACGAAGTGCTGGAGATTCGGGGGTTCGAGACGATTTCAACATTTTTTGTTTCCTCGATCGTTCCGTCAGATCAGGCAGACCGCATCCGTGCGTGACGTGCATCCGCACGTGCGTGCGTACCGCGAGGGTAAGATCTGACCGACTGTATAGAGATAAGGTCGGCAAAGTAAGTACATCATAGGAACCGCGTTTCTCGAAGGAAGCCGAGAGAGAGCTCGGCTCTATAGAGAGCAGAAATCTTCGCGCCTAGATCGACGTCCGGAGTCTGATTGCGAATAAGCATCTACGGAAGTGCGAATTGCCCATTCGAATTGAGCACGTGCGAAGTTACTACGCGCGGAAACTTAATAACGAGGGGAAAGTCGAATCTTATATGGAATAAATTCTAATTTAAGATTAAATTAAAAATCGGTTTGGACAGTGGATATACACAGGGTGTACGGAATTCTTGGAGAAGCCAGTTTTATGATTTCCAAATTTAGATTTCGTAGATATGAACAATTGTTAAATATGAAATTAAGCTTACAACATGTTTCTTATCAGAGTAATAGCAATGAGTTTAAACGTGGCAATGGAAACGTGGGACGGAACCAGAATTCGTTTGTTTTCGATTCCGGAAATAGAAGGTACAGACTTCTAAGAAATACGCCTGTAATTTCTCACAAGGCCCCTCCATCTATTCGCCTCTGTATAACTAATATAAGTTCCTCAGAAGAGAATCTTAAATAGCTTTTCGCCGTGTACGTAATACGTACGGCCGTACGTTTATAAATGATCCGATTAATTGTACGCAAAAAGGTAATAGTTGATAAGGATTGAGGATTTACTTTCACTCACCATTATGGGTCCTCCGTCCACCAACGAAGACGAAACCGTGGCACCGAACCACTGCAGGGTCTTATTATCGATCTGGCTCAAGCCACCCGGCGCGTTCGGATTTCGAACTTGGTTATTTCCTGCAAACGGAAATCATTTCTCATCAGCTAACGTTGACGATCACTTCGTCACGATGATTAATGCGTCGAAGCGTCGATAGAACTGCTAAACATCGTGTGGACAAGTGCGAGTCACCACCGACGTCAGTGATCTTCGAACACGTGCATACGTATATCAAGTCCTACAGGATTCTAAACTAGTTTTCCCTTCAAACAATTTACGGATGGAATTTTAACTTATAAATCGCGCTCATATAATTGTAATAAAAAATATTTGAAATCGAGAGGCCGACTCTTGCCCAGAGTCGAACTGCTTTAGACTACTGGACAACAAATAACCGAAGCATCGATGAGAAACGCGGAAGGCATGCGTTGAACAGGAAAAGGCCAGTAACAAATTACTGTTTGAATATTCTAACGCGTGTTCGCACGAATACGAGTACGCGTTCCACTGAACGCGTGCAAACTATGTCGAAGAATAACGGATACCGTCATCTCTTAGGATCGTTCACTTAATATTCCAATTAGATTCCTGCGAATCTATGGGAGAGACTTCCCTGCAACGAATCGTACGCCCAGTCTGTAAGTGTACGGACCGTACCTGGCAGCCACTTAGCTCCAGGTAGCCTAATATGTCGCCAGGAACGTGCTCGAACGGAATGAAACGAAACAGAAAAGTCGAGTACTAGTGCCGTTTGCATTATCAAGATTAATACGTGACAGACCTCGATCGCCGTACGATTTATCACTCGAAGTACGTATCACAAGACGAATTATTGTATCAATGGTTCTATGAACGCTTCTATCAACCATTGCAATGATTATTATACGAATTATTGTATCGGTCACTGCATGTGCAATGATCGCATCAATCTTTCTATGAAGCGTTACGACGATTATTACATAAAATATCGTATCAATATAATTATAGCCAGTGAAACGTGTCGACGAAGGCAAAACGAATAATTGACGGGACTTAATTATTTCGTCCTGATGAAGGTACGTCAATTAGACACGCGTTCGGCGATCGAAAGGGCGAAACGACCTTCCCCGAAGATCCTTAGGTGGCATCCCGCAAGAAACGCCGAACCTAGGAAGGGAGGCAGGGCCCGTAGGTAGAACGACCTTACGGTTTTCTGTATTAGGTAGAGCCGGCTTCTTGCGCGGATCACGGTTCCCGGTATCGCGAGCGAGGCCGCACCGCGAGGCCGGGTGTGCACCCGTCGAGGAGTTCCTCTGGACGAGATCGAAGGAGTGACTGACCTCCGAGAGAAGCGCGAGATGCGACTCGCTTCCTCGTACGCACGCGGAATCGTAGATACCGAATGATTCGAATACTAGATACCGCGAGTTTGCGAGATCAGAAACGTCGGATCGTCTTGACCCGTGTCTGTTCCTCGTTCCATCGAGACTCGCTCGTTTCGGGTGAACAAGACGAGACTGCAGATTTTTATATCAATTTATAAAAATGAAATCTGTTCAGATTTATTTTAGAACGAATAACTAATTCAGCCGATAGGAAAATAAAATCTCGTTCTTTATCTTTCGTACCGTCACGAGTTTTCTTTAGTAACACTATTTAAAACAGTGACTAAGGCCAAAGTCAGATTTACGTGTCGTGCCTGAAGAACAAACTTTGCGTATGGATTTCGAAAATAGCCACGGTTAGTATCGCAGAGGGAAAACAGTGTTATAGGCTGGCAGCCAAAGTTTGTAAAATACAAATGATTCTAAAGAAGAGGATGAATGCATGAAAAATGGCACTATCTCGTAGGCAAATTGAGCCTGGAGAAAAACACATCTGCATTTCAATCTCTAAATTCATATTACAGGCGTTTTATCTTGCATAAAGATCTGCAGTCTACTCACGATTCATAACGTGTGCATAATTTAACAACGAGATTCTTTAGATTCTCTCCAATCAGCAGAAATTCAAACTCAAGCATTACAAGATCTTAAAATTTAATCGGGATACGATCTATGTTTCGCAAATCGAATGGGGAAGAAAAGGCGTTGGAAATCGATACGTTTTAGACGCGATAAACAGTCGAGTAGGAAGGGTCAACGACAGGGTAGGTGGAAAGTCGCCGAGAATAGAACCGCTTTAGAGGCAGTCGGCCGGTTACTTGGCAGTTGCCGAGATTACGAAGCTCCTCGAGGGCCTCCTGACAGCGGGTGGAAAGCTAGAATGTGGGTCAGCGACTACGAACCCAGCCCAGGAACCCGAGATACCAGCCCCCTCGTTAGCAACGCTCCGTCGCGAGCGTTTCAATGCCCCCGCGGCAAGTGCGAGAGTGCAAGTGGAAGAAAGAACCGGAAAACAGATATCGGATTGAGCGAACCGAAAGGGTTAATCTGATCGCGTTTCCTACTTAGCGTTTCACCGGATCGAATGAAACCGTGCCACTAATTCTCACAGGAATCAGGGGATTTCGACGAACAAGTAAAACAATCAAAACAGCATTGTTTTACTTGTTCGTACGTAGCATCTACGAACATAAGAAATATTCTACCTTTATTGTCGAAGTTGATCATTGAACAGCGATCATCGGCCGCGATATCGCACTTGTAGACAGCACCGCCTCTATATACGCTCTCTTGACCAGTCTGTGCCTCCGGCGCACCGACGATTGCCCTGAAAAATCAAAAGAATTCACGTGAGCACGCGAGGGAAAAAATCGCGTGGTAATTAGCAGTGAAACGAGATGACTCGCATAATTAATCCCGTCGTTAACGTTGACTGGTCGTCGTTCGACGTTCATCATCGGTTCGTTAAGGAAAGACGATGATGCGTACGTGTTTCCGAGATCGAGGTCAGTGGTCACGAGCTATTTTGAACAGTGGCGCAAGAACCGGGTAACTGATCCGACCAACCGGCGAGTTATTAAACCAGGTAACACACAGGTTACCACAATTTTTATCGGTTTCATTGAATACACGCCGACTCTGTCGAATGAATTAACGGCAAAGATTCCACGGTATGCAGGAACGAAATGATTACTGGATTCCAAGTTAATTTCATAAATATTGTATCAAATATTCCGATATAATTTGAACTCAATAGCCTTCAACGCTCGACTTGTACGTTTCCTTTAATTTTTCAATAATTTTACACGCATTTATATCGCACACCTAATCTATGCTTTCCACTAACGATCTTATGTTAAAAGTTATTAAGGCTGTCTAATACGTCTGATGCATATCCGATGCACAGTCACGCGCTATCGTTTAATCTGGACGTGGGTGTGTGCAATATGAAGATTACTAGCTGAGGCGGTAGTATAATTATCTCGGAAGGGTGTGCCGGACAAGGGGTTGTATCACGAAATCACCCTGGCCGGAAGAATGGCTAATGCTTGCAGACAGATTAGATTTGAGCAGCTGATCAACAGGATCGTTTGGAACGATGGATGATCGTATGACCAAGTGTACAACAAACGAGCTACTGACAATAAGAGTAACCTGATTTCTAAAGCGCCAGCCTTCTGTATACGCACTGGCTCGCCTTGAACTTTACCGAGTGAAAGTTTTTTTTATTTCATTAAATTAAACTGCTTGCACGCGACAATTAAACGTGTCGTTCAGAAATAAGGGAAATTCGATATAATACGAAATGCTGTGATCTGTACACGTGTTGTCTCATAAACGAATAATATCGATTCGTTTTCGAGTTAGTAATTTAATTCGAGTACGAACAATCTGCTCATTGTGATTAAAAATATCATTGGATCTTTTCTAACAGTAGGAAAAAACTTGAGCACCCGTTCCAAGGAAACTGAGACTCTTTTGTCGGAAAATACTATAATCGTCTCCGTTGAGAATGTAAAAATGAAACCGTTTACGGGGCAACCTTGGCATACTCTAGCTAGCTTCTAGGCTAACAGCCACGGTGCAGGCGAGTCTCGCACGCATGCAGAAGCTACGTGCGTCGAACAAAGTCTGGAGCGACACGATAATGCCAGTTACATAAACGGTCACAAATCCGCGTTTGAAGATCGTCGTTCCACTGACGAATCGTACGGAACGTCGATTAATAAATAAAGAAACAAAGCGACAGCATTTCTACATCAAAAGTTTTCAATGCCCCTGATGAAATTTGATCCATATAGGATGTCAGCAACCGACAGATTCGCGGATGTGCCATGCTAATGAGCAACGTGGGTCGAACCTGACGAGGACTTAAGTTCGCCCACTCTATTTTTTTTTTTGCAACCGCGAGGTACTATGGTTACTTACCGATATGTGACGCATTCGTCAGAACAGGAAAGCAGGGGCGAACCGGTCCCACGGGATACCACGACTATGTGCAAAAGCTTGAATGACACTTTTTCTTTTTTTCTATATCAAACTCCTGTTCAAGCCTTGCATTCGCTCTTACGTGAATCTACAGTGACACGTACATGGAATGATTTATTCAAATTTAAAATTTAATGAAAATCTGAACGCTGATGAGAATTTAATTCTGTATAGAGATTAACAATTGGCTAATTAATATGAATCGCGTCGAGTGAAAGAGAAATGTAACGAACGTTTCTTTGAAAATAGCTGTCGAAGTAATTACGCTTCATCTGTTGATTCAGTTCCAGTTTCTGTTAATTTCATATTCATGTAATTCTCGTTCTTTTTCTCACACACAGTACCGTTATCAATCGTAAACAGGAATACGGTGATAAAAATGTTCAGGTGTCTTAATCTCATGAATAGTCGTAATACAGTAGGCGTGAAAGATGGTTCGGTCACGAGAGGCAGGTTCAACGAGGATATCGAGGGAAAGTTGAAACGCGTTCATTTATAATTTGCACAATGCTGGTCCAGAGTGAAACGTCGTTTAAATTATTATTTACTCTGCATCCTTTGTCGATGCGATAAAAATGAGAGGATTCATGCTTGACTGCTGTTTCATTGCGCTTAATGGAAGTCTCCTCTCCTCTCCTCTGAGTGCAGCGAATGTCAGATTCTTTTTTTATTTCTTATTGTATACAATTTTTAGTCATCGTTCATTGACTGATTTAAAACAAAATCACAAATATGTTTGTATATTTAACACCTATAGCAATCATTACAATAGGAAATATGCAACCGAGTAACTGAGATATGAAAAACTTCTGATTCATGCCTCGTTACAACACGTGGACAGTGTGACTGTTTAAGAAAACTGGTTAAGAGAACTTTATTAACGAACGGTGATTGTGTAAACCTCAAATTCATGCGCATTATTATTATTTTCAATGCGAGGAGTTTCACTCGACACCAGCATTTACGTACAATAAAACTGGAGATTCATTCTTTCGCGGTGTTCGACTACCGTAGATGGTAAGTTCGAGTAGATCAAAATTTATTGGATGCTGCGACCTTGGCACTTAGGTACTAATGAGTGCTTGCAGCTGCACCGACCGGCAGGTGCAGTGATTTAGCGCCTCCCGAATTAGCTCGCGACTTTGCTCGTTTCCATTGAAACACGCTCTTACTTCAACTTTAAGGTTTTAATTAATACGAACTGACGCTGGTTCAATTAAAGTGAACCGACGTACACAAATTCAATTTTCGATGAAATCATTGAGTTACATGAAGTCAGGTTTTATTTATAAGTACGTTTCATTTTTTCACGGAACACAGTGTCATCTGGGGTCAACATTAATCGATGACGCATTCGACTCTATAGATATTTCATCTTGCAGATCTATTACTTTGCGACCAAAGAAGTCGACAGTTTATATATTCAAATTCTCAATCTGATCAATGTTTCAATGCCAAACGGTTTTTTCCTCAAATAATCTTCAAACGGGGACTGAAAATTCCGAAAGAAAATGTTTCGCGTCAAACGTGTATAAATTTGTCCGTAGTTCGCGGAGATCGAATCCGAAGATCCCGCAGAGAAGAGGGTCTCTCTTTCGGTCGCCGGGAATGGAGCCGTTCGATTTTGCCAAATACGGCGATTTTACAAACGCGGCTCGTCGCGATATAAGTCAATACGACGCGACGCGACAGCCTCGCGACGCCAAAGGGACGCCGATATTTGTATCCGCCCGCTCCTCTCTAATTCATGCGCGTCGCGATTTTTCCCCGCGATACGCGAAACCATTTTTGCCCGTACGTTCACGCAAAAGGCCGCGAGCCTTGTTCCTTCTCGATGTCCACCAGGGATAGATTTATTTATTGGCCCATTCAACCGCTCGTCCACGCTGATTGCGTTTGATGCGTACAAAAAGGCGCGTGTCCTCTCGGTTTCTACGCGTGATTTATGCCGTTCGCGTCGTTCTTCGGCTGTTAAAAATATTTCTAATGTTCGCGAAGGAAAATTCATTTTTCAGATTTCGGAGTATCGCATCATCAAAGGCTAAGAGTTGAAGAATTGTTCTCGACGCTTGTTCGAATTCGACGACGATATTAAAAAAAAAAATGATGCCGATATCTAACATAAATAATGAACCGACTGTTTCAGTAGCAGAATTTCCGCGCGATAGAAATTCGAATAATAAAAGCTTTGTGTTTCAATGCTAAACGTGGGTGCAGCATGATACAATAGAGTCGTATGCAGCCTCCGCGAGGAGTGATCTCGCGGATTCAAGGTCGCAGATCGGAACTGATGGACGATTGATTCGATTGCCTCGTCGTTCGTTTACCGACGTTCGACGCAAAAGCGAACTTAATCGTTTCCAACAGGAAAACTGTCACAGGATTTATGAAAATTTTTCACAGAACGACGTTTAATCCGACTTCCGCCGCGGTCGTCATGATCGGACAGAAACCCATGTACAGTGACGATGATTGCGATGCAGCGTTGGTTTTTCAAGCCGGAAATCACGTAACACTTTAAGACCCTTAGGGAAGCGCCTTCTGAGTAACCACGAAAAGTACCACCTACGTACAGTCTGTGTCTAATCCAGCGAGTCCTTAATACAAAGTAAAAATAAATATACGAGCTGCTGAAACTTCATTTGTCTCCAACCACGACCACAAATATATTTTATATGTATACCATAGAATAAGATGAAAGTTTAAATCTCGTACGTACATAGGTGAGATTGCCGAGAGATTATCTGTCGACTGGCGTTTACCTAAGCAAATCTACTGTCAATATTTGTTAACAAACAGATGAAACCTCAGAAAACTGTGTATTTATTTTTCAATGGAAAGCTCTTTAATTATAAAATAAAGAGTTCAGCGAACCCGAGATCCTCCTGAGAAATGAGCGTATGGTAATGAGCTCGTGCGTGCTAGGAAATTTAAAACCGCGTATGTAGGAACACGCCTTCCGTGCGATACGCGCTTCAACAGTCTTATCCCCGAGCATAACGAAATTCCGTTAAAACAGCCGTGTCGAATCGTTGCGAAATTTCACCCAAGGTTAATGTGCATATCTCGAGATTTTAACGAACCGTAATAAAACGGTCGCGAATTAAACGTGACAGAACTAAAGATAAGCTTAAATTATGATGTAAGCATACTATCCGTAATTCCGCGGATGATTTATAATCACAATACATTTTATATCCTATCAGCTGAGTTTTATAACGAACGAACAGCTACGAGAATTCTGATTTCATTGAATTTCACAATGTTTTTTTTACTGTACAATGTTCTTCGTCCCGAATTCCCCCGTTGGGCAGTAGGAATTTAAGGGACACGCAACGA